ACTATATTAGATATTTACTTTAGAGGGTCTGTTCTTACTTTGCTATAAATATGGTAATCGTAAATCATACAGGATGTTCAATATTTTACGCCAAACTTTCAAAAACATAAAATAATTTTTGTTCGTTTTTTTAAATGGAACACCCTGTATATTCTTTTTTTATTTGATAGAGAATTAAAAAATGAACATTTTTTGTATTTAAAGTATTTCAAAAATTTTAATAGTTTTCCGGATACACGAAGTATTATTTCATATGGCGCTTTCAATGGTAAAATACGAGAGAAAAATCATTGGGTGGCTTTGATAAAAATTTACTGTGGAAAATGCCGTATGAAATACAAAACCGGGAATATCTGCGAAATTGTTAAAAATTTTGAAATACTCTAAATGCAAAAAATGTTCATTTTTAATTCTCCATCTATTGAAAAAGAATATACAGGGTGTTCCATTAAAAAAAAAAAAAAAATTATTTTATATTTTAGAAAGTTTGGCGTAGAATTTTGAACATCCTATATGATTTACGATTTCCATATTTATAGCAAAGTAAGTACAGACCATCTAAAGTAAATATCTAATATAGTTTTGATTTCAGGACAGTTCTTGTATTATTAATAATTTTTTTAAGAAATGCTAAAAAATATATAATTTTTATTTATTTTTTAATATCTCTGAAATTATCGAAATATATTTACTCATGTCTTAGGATTATGTAAAGTGATCTAACAGGAAGCCAAAAATGCAATAATATACAGGGTGTTCCATTTAAAAAGAATCATGCCGATCCACTCTCACTTTTTTGAGCCACCCTATAGAAGTTAAAATATTTTCCTGAAATACATCCCAGTACATACTTTAGGTTTGCACTTAAACAAAATTTCCCAGTTTTTTATTCTAGGAGCTACAGATGCCCGACGCACTATTGCCGGACCCTGTATATGAATTTACAATTACCGAGTGTTAAAATTAAAATATCTATCTTATTTATTATTCTCAAAATAAAATAGAATTTTTTAAAATAAAATATACAGGGTGTCACAAGATTACAAAGTAATTAAAAAATAACTGCTAAAGAGTTTTTTGGAAGTATTTCACCTGATATCATAATTTTATGTATTTGGCAATAGTTTACAGTACGGCTTTTTGTGTATCATGTACGAATAATATCATAGTTTTATTATCTTGTATTTATTTATTTATTAATAAATTAAGTTGTTAATAAATAAAAAAATTTAACCATATGGTTGCTATATATTAGACCATTTGCTACGTTCTTAGATTTTAAGTCCCAAACATCCCTCCTAAGATTTTGTCCCGCTAGAATAACCATCCGCCGCACTGTGGAGCGCTGGTCCCTGCGTGACGTAAGCATCCACGGTGACTACAGGTGACTACGATAGCGGCGATTTGACGCGATCGAACAGTCCTTGGTATGAAATAGGTCCAAATTTTGCGAATATTTTTTGGCGAATCGCTTTTCGTAATTCGCGTCTATATGAAACAAGCTTAAGGTCACAAATTCTGCTGCAGCCCGTATAGGGGCGTTACATGCTTACATGTCCTTATATTCTTTAGTATCCCATTGACTAAGGGTGCAGCCACACTATCCTAAAAACGGCGTATCGGCGTAACGGCGTAACGACCTTGAATCGATTTCCAGTAATTCTATTGGCTGAAATTTTTGACAGATGAATTTGACAGATAAAATTTCTGACAGATGAATGTTTCAGCCAATAGAATTACAGAAAATCTATTCAAGGTCATTACGCCGTTACGCCGATACGCCGTTTTTAGGATAGTGTGGCTGCACCCCGACTGCTCCGAAAACTCGTTTAAAAGAAGATTCTTATTTATTTTCAGCCTATGTTAAAGAACCGATTGGTTGTGACAAAAAAAAATTAAACCTGAATGTCTTTATTGAAGTTGGTACATAGTAACAGAGTAATAAAGACATAATTATCGAAAACTATCGATGGTCAGAAATATAATATCGATAGTTTTCGATAGTATAAACTATCGATAAATATCGATAGGCTATCGATAGTTCTCTACCAAAGACGACACTAAAGGGGTTTTCGGAATTAAGCCCCTTAAGCCCCGTTCTCAGAACTGCGTCGTGTCGACAGCGACACTGATTGACACTTCAAACGACCAATGGGAGCTGTACTAAATTTAAAATTGACAGCTGTTTGAATTTTGTACAAATCTGATTGGTTCTTTTGTCGTGTCGCTGGCGACAGTCGCAGTTCTGAGAACGGAGCTTTTAGCCCCGTTCTCAGAACAGCGACTGTCGCCAGCGACACGTCAAGAGGACCAATGAGATTTGTACAAAATTCAAACAGCTGTCAATTTTAAATTTAGTACAGCTCCCATTGGTCGTTTGAAGTGTCAATCAGTGTCGCTGTCGACACGACGCAGTTCTGAGAACGGGGCTTTAAAATCCTAGATTAGGTAGTTTCACAGGTAGTTTACTAATCAGCTATTCCAAGATCAGTGCTGAGAGTAATCAGCTGGTAGTTTAATTACGAACGGTTGGATCATTAGATTAACCGGGTTAACAATCACATTTAAATATATTTCGTAAAAAGAGATAAAAGAAGCAAATAATGTTAATATCCCTCTTTAACGATTGTTTAGGATCTATTTTTATCCTATTTGTTTTGCTTTAAGTATACTTTTTAGTTTCTGTAAGACTATTTTTTATAAAAACAAAATGTGTTTTATTTTAGTCTTTTTTAAAATTATGCCTTTTAAAACAATAATACCATAAACTTTATTTTAATCATTTATTTACTGTCGACATAATAAACACTCCAACATATTAATAATAAAAAAAATATATATCAATTTTTATCTACCATTGTGATGAAAACTTTCAGAAATTTTCTATCAAGTTCCATTCTTTCATTATGCCTGGTTATTTTAATCACATTTTAATCTAAATGGGTAAAGGTGTGGATCACAGAATATACTAACGAAAAAGAAGCCCAAGTTCCTTGTAATAAATCGGTTCTATTTTCGTAACGCCATCTCTCGACATAGCTGACATTATAGGTTAGCCAAAGGGGTGCGGGGCCGGGGGGAATTGTAAAATACACTTTTTTATTTTAATTATTTTTATTTGCTATTTGCAATTTTATTTTTAAAACATATTATGTAAAACAATCACATAATATGTCTTAAAAATAAAATTATAAACGGAAACAAAAGGAATTAAATAATCTGAAAATTTACAAAGTTTATTGATAAAAAAGTTAGGCTATGCAAATTGATAAGTATATTAAGTATAACCTCTTTGGTAAAACATTGTTAAACAAACATTAACAAAGTACTATTACATAAAAACAGGTGATACAATACTTCAAAATTAATTTTAACATAATATCAAAACCGAACAATCAAACTGCAAACACAACCACACTTATCACAACAGAAATTAACACACACGTCCACGGCAAATGTCCAAGAAAGACTGATCATTCTGATTGGTCCTGGTCCGGTCGTAGCTCACGTCGTATTGTCGGTAAGCAAAATCCCTGTCCAAAAATTTGACGATCAGCGCCATCATCCGTCATAATTGGGAAACTCTTGCTGGAACCATTTTTAATATTTCACTTACATGGCCCTGGTGTGGATCCGGTGGCTGACCTTGAAGCCTATATTTGCTGTATTTGATCAACAATACTACGCACGCGCACATCGTCGATGTTGCCAAGTTGCAGTTTATTTTCGAATTATTTGCAGTTGAAATTTTTTTTTAGTGTTAATAATAATACAAATTCTATAATTAATTTTATAATTTCAGATTTATCTTGATATCCAAAATTAAGGTAAGCAAGATAATGAAGATTGTGAACTTTGATTATTAATTTACTTTGATTGTTTGTATCATAATTTCTTAAAAATATCAAGTTAGTGGATTAATAGCAATTTTAGACATATATTTTATCGAAAAGTGTGTTGATAAGACTGAAATATAAGCTTTATGTTTTATCTTTTTCTCTTTAGAAGGCAGATGATTTGTGTCGTAGAATACATTACAGTATTTGGTAATTACCCAGTATTTAATATCGTGTACTTTGATATTCTTTTCTTAATTTACTGCAATTTCTTGTTCCCTATACTGCTAAATCTTGACAATATGGTCAAGGTTGAGTTATGATCTTATTAGTTTTATACCTGTGTTTATACAAGACCAAATTGAGACTTAGTTAGTTTGTGATTTATATTAAGATCTGTCTTATTTTCTTATAATACTTGTTATGTCTTAATCTTAGTATTATATTATTTTTTTTCTGGAAAATAAATGTTAAAATATTTTAATTTTGCATATCCTATTCCATCCTTCCATTAGGAAAAATATGGTTTATAAATCATATATGCTAAGAAAATCACATAAATTAGGTGTAAGAATAGAGAAATCTTAAGGTAGCAGAAAAATTAATGCAATATATGTATAAGCAGAATTAAACAAGAGGTATAACTGTTAATGTTGCTGAAGCTGATTCTACAATTTTAATTACGGAGGCTAAAAGGCCTTTTAAGGCGTCCGTAGTTTTGATGGAATGTTAAAAAAAATGTTTTAATTTCACGAATTTTTAATAAAGCCCTTTTTAAACGTAGCATAATAATCTAGAGCAATTAGATTAATTATAGGAATCTAGAGTTTTATTTCTATTTAATTTTATTGACTATGAAAATACATAATAAGCGTACACGTGTTGTGCGAAATATTAAAATAATAATATAATATACCGAGTACTATGATGGAAAAAAGCGTCAGCGATGACTATGAAATGAAGATCGCTGTTATTTTACCTGGGAAATGTCCTCAATCGTCATTTCCCAGCCAACTGGACGCCGTTTTTTCGATCACACGGTATATATTGACAAAAAAAACACTGAAAAGCACATATTTGTTTTCTACTGAAAATAATTCCAAAATAACTTGCAAACTGGCAACATCGAACATATGCGCATGCAGGAGGGCCGAGGGACTCCATTTATATTGTTAGCAGACCTGTGTAGCAGACGTATTAAGCCATATTAAGCACAGAATATACTAACGAAAATATATTAAGCACGTATTAAGTACAAGTATGTCCTTTAGAAATAAAAGTGTATATTCAGAGTATTCAGACTGTGATTCAGACCCATATGGCTGTGGGCAGAATCAGCAGATTAATACTTGTTCCACTTGTAATAAGTCTTTTAGTATTAAACTGGAAGATCATTTGAATACATATAGTCATATAAGGTAAATAGGTATAAATATAGATAGTTAATTATTTAATATTTATCTAATGAAGGTAAGCCCCAAGCCCCAAGATAGTTCTTGGGCAAGCCAAATGTTTACTCGTATTCCTTGTTTGGTGATTTTAGTAGGTATTAGGTACCATTGCGATAAAAAAAGTAGTACAAGAATTAGTAGTCTCAGATACAACTCCTGGTCTATTTGTCTGTTTGATAGATTTTGTTCAGAAATACGAAATTATATCGGATAAACAAAATGGTTTCATGAAAGGAAGATCAACAATACGAGCTTTATACCAAGCATTATCTTTTGTAATAGAGTCCTTAAATAATAGAAAACAAACTTTAATACTGTGTTTAGACCTTGTTTAGGCATTCGATAGTGTCGATCACAAATTTTTATTAATGAAATTGGAGCGACTTAGAATTAGGGGAACTGCATTAAAATTATTTGAATCATATCTAAGCAATAGAACTCAGCAAATCGTAGAATAGGATGATTATGGCAAAAGAGTTATCTCAAATAAAATAGTGCTAAAAAAAGGAGTCCCTCAAGGTTCAGTGCTGGGTCCACTGCTATATATTTTGTATACAAATGATATTTCGAATGTCACTGGCGAAAAGACGAACTTATATTCAGATGATACCACTCCATATACCACTCTGCTATTTAGAGATGACTTTAATGATCCACTAATAGAAAGAGTGATCTGCTGTCGACACTCTGGTGAATTATTTCCATAATAATGGCTTGACATTAAATACCTATTTCCAAGACACAATGCCTTCTTTTTGGTAATCGGAAGTTTTCAGATTTTGAGCTAATATATAATAATATTAAAATTAATTCAGTTAAAAGTATAAGGTTTTTGGGAGTGGGAATTGATGAACGACTGGACTGGAGAGGACATGTTGAAACCGTGGCGGTTAAAATTGCACAATTTTCTTTTGGGCTGAGGATAATATCAGACGCTGTTGGGGTAGATGCTGCACTTTCAGCGTACTATGCATTTATCTACTCAAGGATAAAGTATGGCATAATATTTTTGGGAAAATAACAAAAGAAATGCATACGTTCAATATTTAGAATGAAACCAACGGAGAGCTGTAAAAATTATTTTATTGAGCAAAAAATACTAACAATAACAAGTATATATGTTGTAGAGTGTATAATGTTTGTTTATAACTGACAATTTTTCAAAAATTTGAAACTAACTCACGATTACCCTACGCGAAATAAGTCCTATTTAGTCGGAGATAAATATAATTTTAGCTACCTACAAAAAAATGTTTATTTTTCTTTAATAAAAATGTACAATTTCCTTCCCGAATGTGTTCGAGGTTTGGCAAGAAACAATTTAAAAGCCACATTGAAAATCTTTCTAACAAAAAAAGCCTTTTGTCCACTAGAAGAATTTTACAGATCCGATAAAGCTGTTTTTATAAGTCTGATATCTAATGTGTAATATTTGTTGGTTGTATATATTAATTCTATCGTTTTTAATTTATTTTTATTATTTCTATGTATTTACTTACTTTACTTAGTTAAGATCTTAGTTTAATTGTAGTATTATCTTAACTGTAATTATAATATTTTTGGTGTGTAATATTCTTATTTGACAATGTTTTCATGCCTGTTTGGGCTATTTTATGTGTTTTTATTGTAAACATTGGAAATAAATAAAGAAATATCATATCTATCTATCTATAAGGATATCGAGAAGTGGATATCGTCGTCACTATGAAAACAATAAAATTATGCCACCTAACTTTTTAGGCGTTACCATGAATTTGCTAATAATTGGTAGGTATACGTGACGAAATAAAAGGTGATAAAAGTATAAAAAATTTACCTACCTTTTAGAAATGGTCAATTTTTTAAGTTTTAAAAATATTTTATTATAGACCAGCATATTAAATCATATTTTGTTGTACTACTTTTTTTATCGCAATGGTACATCGACAATCTTGAAGTTATTGATGTAAATTTGATATTAATATATTCTACAATTAATGTTTTAACGTTCTAAGTACGGATCATCGCTTAAATATTTGAGATTTGAGATCACTTCAAAAATTTTTTTTATTTTTTTACAAAATATGAGGTTAAAATGTAGCTTTCTTTATTAATTTTAATAAGAGTGACAAAGATAGATTCTAGTTTATTTCAGGGCATCTCAGGGGTCTAATATCAAAAGCAGCAAACTTTACCATTCCTCCACTCCGACTTCCCAACATGTACATATGTTCCTATAATTAAATTTGCACTTGAAATTGATACTGAACCAAATGTTTACACTGAAGTTTAAACTATAAATTTCGTTGCAAATTTAAGGTTCAGTATCAATTTCAAGTGCAATTTTATTTTAATTATAGGATAGGATGGAGGAATGGTGGAGTTGCTGCTGGGAATGCTGTTTTTGATATTAGACGATTCGTCTTTTGCTCGCATCTGCGCATATCGCTGACGATAGCAATGAAATTTTGAAAATCGGAATTTTGTTTTATTTATATTTTTCTATTAATAATTTTGAAAAATAGCAGTAGCAATATTAAGCTGTTAAGAATATATATTAAATTTTGATCTGTGTTAAAGGTTGAGAAGAGGCTGAAACTCTCTCCGCCGTAACTTTTAAGTTTTGATTTCTTTAATTGATTTCTTTTTAATTGGCCTTTTTTTTGTGAGTTTGATTCTGGGGTTATTTATGGACGATCCGTACTTTTTTTGTTAGAAAATGAAATTATAAGTGTCCCTCTTATTATTTCTGTATAGAAAATTGTAAAAATCCGACGTACCTAAATCGTACATGACCCCATTGTTTTATTTCCCTATAATACCGGGTGCATGTGTCTCAAAAGTGGCTCACCCCTATAACTTTTTTTTATTTTTTCAGATAAAAAAACGAGATTTGGTATGTTAGTAATTGACATAAATTAGGATTGATTGACGTATTCAATTGTTTTCGGTCACTTCCTGTTTCACCGGAAATTACTATACTATAACTTTTGATTTTTAAATGACACCCTCGGTATTTTTTTACTTTATTCCATAGAAAATGACACTCTGAATCGAATGCCGCAACCGCATATGCGGCATTTGGCGATCTCCGATCGGGGCTTCGCCGATTGCCTATGTGTGTGGATGGGGAAGTCGGAGTTCGGCGACTCGATCGGCGACGAGAACGAGCGCTCGTCTCATGTTGCTATCAGAGTCCGGCGTTGCCCGCATGCATGGTTGGAAAGGCGAAGTCCGATCACGAACGCTCGGTTTGGTTTGGCGGACATATCATATTATGCCGCAACCACACATGCGGCATTTCGCGAACTCCGAGCGCACGTCAACTACCGAGCGCTCGTGAGCGGACTTCGCCTTTTCATCCACACATGCGGGCATCGCTGAGCTATGATAGCAACAACATAGAGACGAGCGCTCCTTCTCGTCGCCGAACTCCGACTTTCCCATCCACACATATAGGAAATTGGCGATATGTGAATAATAAATGAAATATGATGTCATTCTATTGAGAGTGTCATTTTCTATCGAATAAAAAATACCGAGGGTGCGATTTAAAAACCAAAATTTGTAGTCATTTCCGGTGAAACCGGAAGTGACCAAAAACAATGGAATATGTCAATCAATCCTAATTTATGTCATATACTACATACCCAATCTCGTTGTTTTATCTGAATAAATAAAAAAAGTTATAGGGGTGAGCCAATTTTGAGTCGCACCTGGTATGTTGAAGAAAATAAAATGGTTTTTATTTTTAGTGCAATTAAAAACATGTTTTGTCATTATTGTGGTGTTCAGTTCAATTTGCTGTCTGACTTGAAGAACCACCAGATGGAATCGAGAGATCACCAATTAAAAATTATTGTAAGAAAACTGAACCATCCTCTGTTCAAAATTGAACCTGAGGATCCTAAGGAAGAACTAGAATTAGAACTACAGAAACTAGTGTATTACCTATATTATTCAAATGCATTTCCTTACGAAGTCAGTTTGGAATATCTAAAATGTTATCAATGGAGAATGAGTTCGAAAGGTATCTGTCAAGAAGGGAAGAAAAGTGTCACTATTCCTCTACTGGAAATCCTAAAGGAAGATATTGAGGTCTTGTTAGAAAGCGATGAGAAGGCCAATTCAACTAGGATTAAGGTTTTGCAGAAAATGGAAAGTTTAATAATTCTACATAAGAACCTTATATATATATAAATAATATATCTCTTTTGACTTCCATAACAAATTGGAATAAAATGTTGGATAAAATTATCGGAGATAATCGTTTGATCCTAGATTAGTAAAAATATCCAGCATTTTATATTTTTCTCTTTATATAATTTTTGTTGTATTTTTTTTACTTTCTATTGCTTTTTTATTGTTTCAGTTAATCCTTTATAAGTAAGTTTGTAGCATCATTTCAGTTTGATATTTTGATTTTTTTACTCTGTACTATTTTTACCTACCTATTATTAGTTGAGTCATAGCTACGACTATTATAGCCTTGGTGCACTTCAGTTGATTTTTAAAATTTATAAAAAACAGCAACGCTCGGTACGGCAGAAATCAGAACTTTTCGGCTCTGTATTTCATGCAGACCCGGTTACTGTTCATGTTGATTGCATTGAAATAAAATTAAAATCCTTTATTTAAGTACACTACTCAAAATAATTATCACACATCATTATTTGAAAAAAACTAACTATTACATATTTCTAAACGAACCATGCATTTTTCTGCCTTCCTCTTGGTAGTTTTTTATAGCGAGTTAGCGCATAGCCTAAAGCTTGATTTTCATGCATCCGTTATACGTTGATATATTGGTCCGACGGTGCTCTGATTGGTCATAGCGTTTTCGCGCCACTTTTCATCCGTAAATATTTTACTTCAGCCCGTCAACGGACCCGTTCATACGATAACGGACGTTTTGACACTTTTTTGACAAATTTAATCTAACCTTAATAAAAATATAAGTAAAATAGCAAAATCGTTATGGAAACGAAAATATAAAATAACACCCACATATATCCGATAAACGGAGGCATGAAAATGCAATAAATTTAAAAACTGCGTTATTTTCTAACCAATCAAAGTCTTTAAAATTCTACCAATAAAATTAATATCGTATCAACGTATCGTCGGACAACGGATGCATGAAAATCAAGCTTTAGGCGTTGCAACAGGTAAAATTGACAGGCAGTTTTTAGTCGCTGACTATTTAGAACCAATATATTCTTATGGAGCCGCGCTCACATGCAATCAAATATTCCGCCGATCGGCTCCATAAGAATGTATTGTTTTACTTTTGCCAGGGGGGGGGGCCCGGAATGTATTTTTAGGGGGGGGGGCCAAATAAACGGTAATGTAGAATATGCTTTTTAGAGTGCCATTTTTAACCCAAAAGCCTAATATTTAACCCAATTTATAGATTTTAGGGGGGGCCAGGGCCCCATGGTCCCCCCCTCTGTATCCGCCGCTGACTTTTGCAACTACTTAAATAGTTGACTTATAGTTTAGCGTAGGCTTATTGTTTAGAATATTTCCCTTTACTGTATCCAAACTATTTAAATACGTAATTCAGAGAATTCAAGCTGCCTTGTTTTTCAAACTATTTTTTTTAAATATGCGATAATTGCTTTGAGTGGTTTATTTTAGTTTTCACTTGTGAAGTTATTGAAACTACACTCTCTAAAATGCCGTATTTTTTTATTTTCAGCTCTATTTTCATAATTTTTTTAGCAAACTGTATATATCTACCTTAATTGGTAAATTCAGTTTTTTAAAAACTTTTGTATTTGTCTTATTATATAGTGTTAATCGAAGGGTTGTTTTTTACCTTAACTTTAAAACACCCTGTGCAATAATTTTGTTAGTAATTTTTTTAATCTTTATTTTTCGGTCAGAATCATAACACCTGAGCATCTTGTTTTTTTTTGGATCATATCAATACATGCCTTGGTTATTTTTAAGAGCGAAATGAACTTTCCACCAGCAATTTGTAATTTTTTCAATTATCATGGCATGTTAATTTTTAATATGACGAGGTGGATTTCGTGACTATTCTCGTAATACCATATTGACAGTTACATTTTAAAAAACAACCCTTCGATTATCCCTGTATAATAAGCCAAATACAAAAGTTAAAAAAAACTGAGTTTACCAATTAAACTAGATATTTATAAAGCTACAGTTTATTAAAAAGATCATAAAAATAGGACTAAAAATAAAAAATATATATATAATACTTTTAAAATTAACCAAAAATTTTTTGTGTGGTGTAATGTTGTTTCGATTAGTAAAAATTAAGTGAAAAAACAAAACAAACTGGGCGATGCGTTATGTTGTGACAATTTCAAATGATTATAATAATGCCGAAAAAATGACAACACGAAAAGGAGAGCATAACTGTGTGGTTGTTGGGTGCAATAACACTCAATACAACTCCTGGAACAACAATTTACAACTTCTCAGGTTTATCACATCGATTTGATGAAAAGCAATAATCGATTCAGGTTATATAGCATTTGAAATTGTCACAACACAAGACGACGCCTAGTTCGAATTCTTTTTCACCTATTTTTTACTACCCGAAACAGCGTTATATCACACAAACCTTGTACCTGAGTGTTTTATAGTCTCAATAACTGCACTTGCAAAAAAATAAAATACTTAAATATTATGACAAAACCACACGATTTCAATATTATTTTAATGCGATCACCATGACGGCGGCGGCAGCGTGAACTATATACTGATAATTTCTGTTTTTTGCCGTTGAAGCGCTGCGGTCGGAATTTATTAAAATTAACTGAAATGCATTAAGCCTATATTATACAGTTATACCGTAGTTTATACCTATTACATTATTATATTTTGACTAAAGTTTAGTCTAATAAAATTATTCAAAATAAAACTTTATATTATAAGCAAGATATTATTGATACGTAATTTTATTAAATCAATTAAAAAATTGTGCCATAGGGTTACCGGGTGATTTAAAAAATATGTGCCATCTATCGTGGGGAAGCTCCTCACGTCAAAATAAGATTTATTTTTTATATCAACATAGGAATATGTTTTTCCGGTTTATTGTATCGTATGATCGAAAAAAAAACGGCGTCAGCGATGGCTATGAAATGAAGATCGCTGCCATTTTATATGTAAATTTATATAAGAAATGTCATCGATCGTCATTGGCCAACCAACTGGACGTCATTTTTTTTCGATCATACGGTACTTTTCTTCCAAGTGCTTTTAGTGATTCAAATGAAATTTTGAGGGTAAAAATAGTAACTTGTATGTAGTAGAGTCGTTTTAGGGCGTGGTCACGTGGACAATCTGTTTTTCTAAGATTGTGCACCCCCAAAGTACTGAACCAGTCGCCGCCCCTGGATTATGGTTGAATTATTTTGTTCCTCTCTTATCAGTCCTGACCGCCATAAGGGAGTGTAGTGGTCAGCGTAACATCATGGATAATTTTTCTCCATGCGCCTCTGTCTTTTGTCATCTCGATGACATCGTGCATTGGCTTGCTACAGCTGGTCGTGATCTGGTCTATCCATCGAGTTGGAGAGCGGCCACGTGGTCTACGCCCTCCACCTTGCCTTGAATTATGAGTCTTCCCATATTGTCTGGACTTTTCTTCATTATATGTCCAAAATATTTTAGTTGTTTTAGTCGGATTTTACAGGAAAGCTTGTTGGTAATATTAAGTTAATTTATAATGGAAACATACAATAAAAGTAGATAGAAAATAAATAAAAAAAAAGAAGACAAATATATCTCTATATTCAACTATATACCTTTGATTATTATAAGCATCTCATAAATATGAGTTCCACAAAAACTATTTTATTTATTTCTCTATTTAATCTATAAATGTTTGATGTTTGATAACAATACATCTCGGTAGCATCGATCTTCTTACGTTTCGCCTGCCACGATTCGCATACGTCAGTATTGGGAGTACCAAACAGTTGACTAGCCGGTTTTTGATGGCTCTTGAAATCTGGCGGTCTTTCCAGATCTTGGTCATTAGTCTCCGAACAGCTACTTTTGCCATGTTGCACCTACGCTTCACCTCTTCTTCCGATGTGCCGATGTCAATAGTGATCCCTGGTATACGTATGACTTAACGACTTCAAAGCGGTCGATATTACTTATATTTGTTTGGTTGTTATGTTGCCTATCAACTTCATGATTTTGGTTTTTTGTGTTTAGTTCCAGACCGAGCCGATTGCTTTCGTTTTCTACCCCATTTACTACATTGATTAACTCTTTTTGACTGCTAGCGAGTAGTGCTGTATCATCTGCAAAGCGTAGATTATTTATTTTTTGGCCATTTATTGAAATGCCTCCTTCCCATGTTTCTAGCGACCTTCTCATTATGTATTCTCCGTATATGTGAAATAGTTGAGGAGACAATATACACCCCTGTCTGACTTCATGTTCAAGGGAAAATTCCTTTGAAACTGAATCCAGTATTCTAACTGATCAACAGTGTGCTGATACAACTGGATGATAAGTGAAATAAGGTGTTGCGGTACCTCCACTTCCTTTAAGTGGGGAAACGATTATATACCGGGTGCGTCTCAAAAGTGGCTCACCCCTATAACTTTTTTATTTTTACAGTTAAAAAAACGAGATTTGGTATGTTAGTATATGACATAAAATAGGATTGATTGACGTATTCAATTGTTTTCGATCACTTCCAGTTTCACCGGAAATGACTACAACTTTTGATTTTTAAATAGCACCCACGGTACTTACTTTATTCGATAGAAAATAACAATCTGAATAGAATTACATATCATATGTCCACTTTTGACATTTTCGCATATGGTTTATTTGAAGTTATAACTTGCGCTTCGTAACGAAAATTTGACTCGAAATACCAAGTGTGTGGTACCAAATTATTCGTAAAAAAATGCCTTTTCCAAATATGCTAATGAGCCACCCTCGTTCCATTTGAAAAAATTGAGATATGATTAAAAATACGATTTGAGCATTTTCTAACTGGCCAGGACAAGACAATAAAAACATTAGTCAATCAAATATATTTTTCCAAGGCTCCTTGATTAAGAATTAGTGTTTTTAACATAACTATGGCAATCTAGATTGAATTTAAAAATTTAATTTTGTTTTAAGCGAGTATGTCAAAAGTTGACATATGATATGTCATTCTATTCAGAATGTCATTTTCTATCCAATAAAGTATACTCTGTTTTTTTTTTCTCAGGCAAGATTTCGACAGACGATGACAGAAAAAAAGCAGATCACTTCGATACCAATCCATTTATTTCACTAAAAAAAGTTTCTAATATTTTTTAAGTTAACTATGGATGGGTTTATAAATAAATACGTCATGCGTCGTCTCTTGTTGTTTTTAACCAGTTTTATTGGTTTATTTCAAAAATGACAGATCATATTTAAATATTATTGGTTTGACGCAACGATGAACGACAAACGGACGCATATGCGTATGAACTCGACTTAAGATTTTTGAGAATTGTCAAACTCTTGCCAAATTATAGGTTATAATTTTGTGTCAAATTATGTCAAATAGAAATGATAAATATTTTGCATTTTGGACTGTGTCGTTTTGTTTGGTTTGGTGCTTGGTGTTTTTAAAAATTAAGTGGAGGAAAACTGTAGGGAAAATTAAGCGTTGACCCAGACCATAGTTTACAGTTAATATTCGATGCACAGAGACTGCCAGAGACACAGTTTGCCAGAGATTATGACCAGAAAGTTGTATTAGCCACAAATAAAGATGTATACCATCTCGTATATGGTACCAAAAACTGGAATATCTGTAAAATAACATCACACGATAGGTAAATAATAAATTTTAGTACTGCAGAAAAACATTAAGATTGAAGTTAAT